TATACATACATAAATATATACGACGTAACATCACAGTGATATAGAAACATACAAAAATCATATAGGCATATGACGATTTTATATTTACTTAGGTGCTCGAAAATAAATGCAACTTTAATCAAAATATAGTTCTTTTTTTTTTTTATACTTCTAAGCCCATTCTCTACCCTCGCTATTAGAATGTTAGTTACGATGAGTTACTTGTATTAAAAAAATTTTCTATGCGCGAATTTTGATTTTATAACACGGATATAATTGTTAACAAATATTTACAATATATGACATACTATTATGTACTTTAAATATGCTCATTTTCATATATTGTTGCATGGCTTACTAAGTCATTTTTTTAAGAATTTTAAGTCATTGATGATTATGAAATAAATTAAGTTTTAGCGAGATTTCTCATTTTGCTCCGCATGTATCGAGAAGTATTATAAAATTAAATAATATTTTCAAAACAATTTCGTTCTTCTCTACAAAAATTTTTTCACAATAAAACTTGTGTTTCTCTTGTAGTAGACACTATTAAGGGATATTTTAATTCAATATCAAGTTGATTTGTTTTAATAATATGAATAAAATCATACTATTATCATATTTTAAAATCATGTTTGAAGTTACGCGTGCGCGGGCCCTGTTATACTAAAGTCTTATAAGCAAACATTCGAAACAAATAAATATGTAAAAGATTTTATATACAAAGAATTTTATTATTTATATATAAATTTGAAATGTGTAATGTGTATATATGCTGTATAATTAAACATACATACATTTTTTTATTAGCTAAAAATATTAAAAAATACTACATGTGCATACGTTGGTACATTGCACATACAAGAATGTGAAAGTTACATGAAGTTTGCATTTTGTGTATGTAAATGTATGATGAAGAATTTAACCCTTGATTGTTTCTTAAACATATTGAATCTAATTGCTATTTTTTACATTGTGTGATCAAAGAATACATTTCTATTATATTGAAATTTATTTTTTATTATAAAAAACTTGAAATAATTTGTTGAAGTATGTTATTCAGTAGACAGTACAGTCAATATATTACATTAAACTATATGTGCGTTATTCTATACGGTAAGAGGTTTACCGTGTTATTAAAGCATAAAAATTTTTTTAACATGATATACTTACAACATTGATATCCGTCTTACGCATTTTATAGTTCAGGAAGATAGCGATTTTAACAGTATATTTATGTATACAATATTTTTGGATTATATATATACATATATATATATATATATATATATATATATANATCTTATTATATAAAATCATATATATAAAGAAAGATATAAATATTCCGAAATATAGCTTTCTTGCAATAAACTCGTTATTTCTAGGAAAGTAGAAATAAATAAATAAGTAAATAAATATATTTACTTATTTATTTCTACTATATATAAGTCTCTTTCTACATAATAATATAGGCAGCATGAGAGAAATTGATACAAGAAAGCAATATTTTTTTTACTTTTAAATCTGACAATTGGCATGCCACTTTATTATGATAAACTCGTACACAATATTTAGTGCTTGATTTTTTCTAAATACAACACTAAAAACGCAAAATTCATGGTTGTCTAGAAATATAAAAATACATACATAATCCTGTATATATAATATAAAATAGAGCAAAGATATCAAAACTTAATTCAAAAAGACTTCCAAACTTATATAATTCAGAAAAAAATATATATCGATTAAATTTTTATAGATTTACTTGTATAAATGTATTGTATTTTTGTTTTAATTAAATTTCATTAGGGTAATAAATGATTAATGGACATGAATATACATTAACTAAATATATAGAAGATAAAAATAACATATACACTAAGTGTATAAAATTATAAAATAACAGTATATAGCTAAACAACATCGCAATATGTGTGTACATATATATATATATATTACATTTACATATACATATACATATATATATATATATACGCACACACACGTCATGCCATATACTATATTTTTATGTTTTGTCATTATGTGTGTGTAGAAATTTACTCTATAATTTTGTTTCCTGTGTATGTATGTTACAGTAAAAATAATAAAATAGCTAATAGTATACTCTTACTAATAAATACATATTCACTAGTCAGCAAATGTATAAATTGCATACGTTTTTACTGTAACATATATATACATACATTATATAAAGCTATTTGTGTGACAGGACACTAATTGATCAATATAAGTATTAGTAATGAAATTCGATACAATGTGAACGACCATTTCTGAAAATGACTTTAAATCACGTTAGTCATCTTTATATTGATGTTTTGTAAACATTTCAGTTTACTTCATCAGAATTCGAGAGCACCTTGAATAATTTTGCAATTAAATGTGAGATTAAATGTGCATGTGTGCGCGCCACAGTGGTCCAAAATTAGATCTAGCCAGTCAAAATTCAAATATTAAAAGAAAAGTTACTATAACATCAGAATATTTATATTTTTTTAAGTTTAAATTTTGTATTTTTTTAAAATTGATTTACTAATTTTTATTTAATTAATTTTATTTGAAATTATCTTAAATCGACAAACTATAATAAATATAGAACTTATAATAATAGTTTTAATTTATAAATATAATTTTATGCATCTTATATGATAGTTATATTGAATTATGTGGTGTTGTAATATTTTAATTTTATTCACAAAAATATAACTTATACAAAAATAAAATTTTTTTATTTGTGTATGTTTGCAAATATTTGCTATTATACATATATATACTGAATTTATTATAATTATATCATAATATTAAAACAATTATCATAATTCTATAATAATGATAATTGGATCATTCTAAAAATTTACCTTACCTGTTTATACTACAAAATATAAACACTTTTTTGAATTTTACTCGTCTGAGATCTGAATTCAGCTCACTGTGCAAGCGTACGCGCGCGCGCGTACGTACATATAATACACGCATGAAAAATTTAACAACATTAGTTTTTGTGCCGATATTATATATACATATATATGTTAAAAAAATCAGTACTATTCTTTCATTTAATCAAGGGTTAAAATACTTCAGCTCAAATAATAAAATTTAACGAATTGTATAACAAATCGTCAAATAAACATGTCTTATATGACACACATTATATAAGTCCATTAGTAAACCATATGTAATACATACAGTACTATTAGATAATATATATTTCTGTCTCTTTTTCTCTTTCTTGCATTATGCTTTCTTTTTTTTCTTTTCCTATCTCTTTCTTTCAACGTATAGGAAAAATTGTTTGGAATTTAGCATAAAATACAACAACGGCGTTTCTTATGTCCAGGTCTACCAGGTGGTTTACCTGTGCGTTCTTTATCCTTTCGAATTTCTCGAACCTGAAATGCGTAATAAAATGTTGTTACAGGTCATTAATGTGTACGAGTTTGACGAGTGGTTATAGAGAAATTTTTCATTTCAATATATAGTGTTAGTAATTAAAATTCATAATATTAAAGAGATATTTTGTTTTTCTACTAACCAAAGTATAAAATGCGTCATCTACACCCATTCTCGTCTTAGCTGATGTTTCTACAAATGGCACACCATATTGTCGCGCGACTTCTCTAGCTTGAGTCATGTTTACTGCCCAAGCTTGTTGAAGATCGCATTTATTTCCAACTAACACCATCGGAACTTCTTCCGCGTCTTTTACTCGTTTTATTTGTTCTCTATACGTTCCGATATCCTGTAATATTATTAACCGTACAATAAGCTTATCTCAAAACTATAGATCCAAGATGTGTTCTGTTATTTAACATATTTAATTGTTTACCTCGAAACTTTTAGCTGAATTCACAGCAAACACTAACAAGAATCCTTCTCCTGTTCTCATATACTGATCTCTCATTGCACTGTATTCTTCTTGTCCAGCTGTATCCAAAATATCTAGAAGGCACGTTTCACCATCTATCACCACCTGTTTGATATTTTAATATATATTCAGCAAACATCTTAACATTGAATCTCTTTCTTATTAAAAATGTCTATATATAAATATCTTAACTAATCATTTGAATCTCAGTATAACAATTAAATTAACTTAGTACATGCTTACTTGTTTTCTATATGAATCTTCTATAGTAGGGTCGTATTCATCTACAAAATGATTTTGAATCAATTGAATAGTGAGTGCTGACTTGCCAACACCACCAGCGCCCACTACTACAAGTTTGTACTCCGTCATGATACTAGGTTATTAAGTTATAACTTTTATTGGTTTATATTTAAAATTCCTTTGGTTGTCTGCAAATAAGAAGCATCATAATTTTCTTTTAGATATTTGGTAAAACTGTAACTGACACAAAAATAAAACAAATATATAAACAGATCCTACACTGTTTTCTTAGTATTCAACTGCATGAAAAAAATAATAAGACCAGTTAGACGCACAGAATATGGAAAATCCGAGTTCAACTCTTAGTCAAGGTGGTTTTCAACAATGATTTTTTTTTTAATTTCACAGGAAGAACAAAGTTGTACATATGAGATGCAAATCAAACATCCGATAGGTTTTTGAATTGAATTTAATTCGAGTTACAAAAAAAAAATATATATTAATTCATATATTAAAAATTATTTCACATTCAGCGTTTGGCCTTATCATTTCTCTTATATAGTTGACAAAATGTAATTAACAAATAGTAATAATTACATTACATATATAAATTTTAAACAAGATTATGCTCCAATAAAAATAAGTTTACTTATTTCTGTTATTAGAAACTCGAGTATGATTTTTAGATATCTAACTTCTTGAAGAAGTTATTCTTCTTAATCTCTGTACTATCAACATTAAAAAAAAAATTTATAAAAAAAATATTTTATAAAAATAAAATTTATCTACAAAACAACGATATAAAAGAAAGTAAGTTAAAATACAAACTAACTATACGATTTATATTTAAAACAAAAAAAACAATTATTCTCTATTTATACGTACTATATGCAACATTTGTTTTAATCCCAAATGCGAATAACAACTTTGTTTTATTGCAATCAGCTATCAGATTTTGCATGTGAAAAACGCAACAATTGCAGCTTGCTTCGCCTTAGTCAAAACAAAATAAAATATTAACAAATTATTCGTATTATTCAAATAATTATTCGATAAAAATTTATCTACATAAAATATTCAATAAAAAAAAATATTTACTTCAGATAATTTGAATAAAGTCAAACTGGGGGTTAATTGCATGTTGTGAGACAAGATAAAAATTCCAAATATCTTGGAACCTGTATTCTATTCATATATACACATAGTTCGATCGTATATATTTAAGACAATCTTAAGTTTCATCTCAAGATGCTGTACGGACATGTTTTATTAGAATATCTGAAAATAGGATCATCTTCGGATGCTCTGTGACCAATGAAATGCTATTCGTACAGCATATTTAACGTAAACTTAAAACGATCCTACTTATGAAATCGAATTGGCCGCTATTTATAGACAAATCTTATTCTTATATTAGATCGTAGATTAAATAAATTTGTTTACTTTTGTTATTTTTATCTGGTCTCACGATACGCAATCAACTCTATATAATACACACACACACACACACACACAAAAAATGGTATTTCACTAAGTAGAAACTAATCGCTGCATAAGAAATAAATTTGACAAAAGTAGTAATTAAAGCAGAAATAATTATCAAGCTGTTAGGAATGCGATAATAGAGGCGCTGATCCGGCGCTGCTAAATTCAAGCATTTATACGTTTACTGAGAAATTAATCAGCAGCGGCAAAACTTATCATGTGTGTGTATTTAATAGTTATTAACAGAGTCATCAAATGCGCGAGCTTTCCTTTATTTATATAAACCATGTGAATCACTCACATAAATTTCAGAGACGGTGCATTCCAAATCGCGTTCAGCAGTCGAAAAAAATGAGACATAAATAAGCAGCTGTTGACTGCATCAAAGCGTACTTTAATAATTACGCGTTACGCACGTGCGGACAAACGTAACTGATCAATCGTTATCGGCCTTTAAAATTGTAGCGGCTTCGCATACAGTATTAATCACTAGGGATGGATGAACAAAGACATTTGATAACATACTTCCTCGCTCGCGCAACTCAGGGGAGTAATCCCAGACGCGTCATCGACATGCATGGACATACTATGAGCGTCGTATTTCAGAAGTAAACAGTGCATGCTCGAAAGACAAGACATTTTCCTGAGAGGAGAATACAAACAGGAATAATGTTTGAGCGCGACGACGGGCCAAGCACTCGCATACTTACGGTGACTTAATGAGCGTATCTTTCACCGAGGATACGTGAAATGATTTGTCCCCGTGAACTGCGACCTGCTCTGTCACGAATTACTCACTGGAGAGATCATTTGGAACAGCGTCCAGAGACGCTTTCGTTGCGCATGCGTACAATTGCAACGACATGCGTACCGGCATTAATGCGTTTATTTTAAAGTTATTTTTTTATGTAAAATTGTTTAATGTAAATTCTAAACAAACCGACCAATCATAGATCAGTTCGGCCCAACAAGTTGCTTTGTAGCAATCGAAACGCGATTGGCTCTTACTTTCAGAATCAACAAATCAACGTCGAGTGTTGATAAGAACGACAATTTACTAATTGTTTTGCTGAACGCGCTATTAGTTCACATTACGCCTGTTCTACATTAAGCGCAAACGCAAGTAGATCTCGAATGGAATTGACTAATCGCATTGATTAAATCAGTCAATTGATCAACGTGATTGGTCAATTCCGCGAGACCTGCTATTTGCGATTGTGTCTTGCGCTTAATGTAGAACGGGCTTAAGACGAAACTGTTGGTGATTGTGTGGTTTGCTTACGATCGTAATTTCGTATTACACTCATAGATTACGCTAGCCGGCGATCCGGTAATGCGGGCTTTAGGAAGAATCAATCGTGCGATTTTCTCTCTTTAAATTTGACGCCTTTTCCCGTCAAGTCACGTGACTTGTTTTAGTTTAGAGGAAATAGCGCTAGACGGCGTTGGAAAGCGTCACTAGATTTTTAGCAAGAAGTTTGCCTTTCTCCGCGGAAACAACAAACTAGGTCACGTGATAAACACCATGTCTAAATCCGGGCGTGCAAATATAATTAAAGTGAATTTTTAATTCCTGAGAAGTGATTAAGTTTGTGTAACTGGTAATTATATTGTTGAAAAATATAGATTTACTGTTTTGTTTCAATAAGGAAATACAATACTGTTTCAACTATTTCTCTTGTTTGTGTTTATGCTCTTAAATAATAAGTTTATATTAAATTCTATTAAGTAAAATAAACACTTTTACAATATAATATACTTATGCATACTTATACATTGTAACTTTATTTCTAGGAAGATAAAACTTCTAAAAGGTAAGAAATTTCAAGTAACTATTTAAATGCGCGTTATGAGAACGTCGTTTTTGAGTTAAAACTTCTATCGCAATTACTGACATCGCATCGTTGTGATTGACACTTTAGGCTGCCATTTTGACTGTTCAAATCTTCGGTCTTTCGCGCGTCGGCTAATAAGAAATATCGCGGTTGATGTGTTATATACGTCGCAGTTCGTGTTTTTTTTTTTTTTTTGTTTGAAGTGAACAATTAACCGGGTACACGCCGTGAAGTGCTAATTAGCGAGTACGCGATCGTATAATTAGCCGTGTATTTCTATACGAGTCGCGTCGGTGTGAATAGTTCAGAACGCATAGATTTCGTCGTCCGCGCAAAATACATATTTTACAGCAACACGCGCTACTGAAAGTACAAAAAGTGAATCACGTGAGTGTACATAATGTTAATTAGTGAAACGCGAATCATTAGCCGCAGGACTGTACCACGACTGCATACCATGCCAGTGTAAAAAAGTGCCTGGAGCAACCATAATGAAGTAATTCTCGATCACAAATCGTCCGATCAAAGTGAGTGTATTTATTCATTACATTTATTCGCGTGCTTCATTATTTCATTGTATATTTGTAAAAAGAAGATATACAGCAAATGGCTAATTATTAAAAAATAATTACACGTGGCACGTGGTGTGTGCATACGTTCTCTCGTTATTTTACAATATTGTTTACCAACAACAACCAAAAAAAATAAGAACATTCAAAGACTTTGACACGGTCGGAAATTTTATTTGTTGCTCCGCACAAGCGCGCATTCTATTGCATGCTTTTTTTTGCAGTTTTTATAATCTCTTTCTGTAGCGCTAAAGTTTAGACAATGAAGTCGAGAATGTGTCTTGCGAATTGCGACACGCGTTATCTGATGACGGTATTTGAGGAAATACCGCAATTTTTTTTCGATGTGCCTAGGAACGATATAAAGTCATGACTCTATTCGCAACAGGCTGAGCTGACTTTATCCGGCGTATCATCTCACATCTTGTTCCCGAGAGACAACGGCCTCACAAATTCGCTCTATCTACACCGTAAAAGCCGCGACAAACACATTTTTCCCAGTTATTCTATCTCTATCGCGTCATTTATAAATTTGTTGGAGTGTGTATCTGATATATTATATTATATCGTATTGCAGGTTCAGACACATAGTTTTTAAATCTGTCAATAAATCACAGGCTAAGTTTTTTTTTATGAAAATAGATTTTAAAAAAATTCTTTTAATGTATAAAGAAATTCAATATAAACATTTAAAGTTGTTTACAGATATTCTTAACAATATTTCTAAATAAATAATTTTTGAATCTTAAATTATTTTCAGTTAATTTTGTATTTTTTTCTTTGATACATATGTTTTACTTATACTCGTTATATTGATTATAAAAGAAAGATGAAGAAATTACAACGAAATCGCAACGATCGAATGATGTCTGTGTAATAATTTGGCATACGCGGAGATATCTTCAGGAATGTGCCTCATGTAATATACATATAATCAGTCGGAAATAATATCTCGTCGACGTTGCGGCACGGTGTGAAGATGGTTTAGCTAAATAACGAGGACGGGGCTTCTCTCTCCATTCCACATCGCCCGATCGCATTTACATTGCGGTTGCTCTCCGCGCAATTACGCGAGCCTCGTCATTGAATCAATTTGGTTAGCTATGTGATGCCGTATTATCGCCCGCTTTAAATCACCTAAATTATATACCGGATATTCCCCGTCGACTGCGGTGGCCGCGAGCCGCCGTGACTGTCACTCGCGCCATGCTCGCGGTGTATCACAAGCTGATGGCCGAATTATGAATTATTGAATGAATGAATAATTGTCATTGTAAATAGCGCGGTAGGCATGCACACACACGCATGACTGCGTTTTCGGGCATGCACACGACCTCATTAAGCGCGCGAGGAACATCACGTGCGGTCGATTCCTGAAACGTTTACAACGCTACACAATACGGGAAGGACGGGTGTGGGGATAGAGAATGTGTCAAACGATTTTTAGTTGCACGTTTCGCGTTTGCTACTAGACCGGCCGCACTGTTAACGATAATTGAGCGAACTGCATTATACGTACATCTAATAACCATCGACTGCAAATGTTACCAAAATGTATATGTACGTATGTATGTGTGTATGTACGCGGCCGCGCTAATTGATCATTCGACGTACCTGCCGTACGATAACGCGCTAATGATATAGTGACGCGTGGGAAAATCAAGATCTATCTCCGAGTGCCGCGAATATAGGACTCGTGGGGGTGTTTATCCCCTCCTCTACGTGTTCGTTTCTCCCTTGGTTGGCAATGCGCGATACCATTATTTCGATGTTTTTTTTCCCCTCCCTCGGCACACGAGTGTTGTTTAATCCGCGCGCGCAAAAAAAAAAAAAAACAAAAAAAAAAAACAAAAACAAAAACATGTTCGCGGAACGATCGCCTAGATCTGTACGTGTGCGAAAAAACGCGGGATAAAAGAAAGGGGGATATATAAGTAATTCGAGGCTTTTTTTTTATTAGACTGCAAAGAAGGAAGGGGGAGAAGCATGGTAATTTTTTTTTTTACGAGGTTTCTGGTGAGGCAAATTAAGATTTACATAACGCGCCAACCCGTCGCCAGTGTCTAAAGTGTTGAGAAAAATGCAAATGCTCTCTTGTCTTTAAAGCTGTCTTCTTCTTTCTTTCTCTTTCACTGTTGTTCGTTTTTCTTTCTTCCTTCTTCTTTCGAATCATATTGGAGGCTTGGCACGCGATGTGGAAACTCGCAATTGGTAGTTATATCACGTGATATACCGACATAGGACGCGACGAAACTTTATTTCCGCCTGGCTCACGTCCGCGTCAATTGGAACCAGAATTCCGCTAAATTCCGCAATCTGAAAAGCAAAGAGATCTCTACTTGGAACCTTTGCACGTTCTCTCACGCTCACGTTGCTCGCTATCGGAACCAGCGTCGCGTATCTTTCTTTCGCGATATCTGATGAGACAGCATGTACTCGATCCGTGCTAAAGCAAATGAGGGGAATTTTCGAACGTTTCATCACAAAGGAAAGAAAGAAAGAAAAAAAGAAAGAGAGAGAAAGTATTGTTATTTGCGATCGATTTTATTTTAACAATATTTATTTCGACCAGTTATAACATTTCTTATTTGCTAATTTACCCAATAAAACATAAGTTTTTTTTTTATCTCTCTCTCTCTTACACATGACTAAAAAATTCGATACTATTAATTAATTCTTTTAATTGGAAGTACGTTTCGTGTATTTGAACGCACACACACACACACACACATTGTACACGTGTGTATACATTTCATATTCGAATATTGGATGTCGAAAATATTTTGTTTACCGAAAAATACCGGTTGCATTCGTATATATATGTACGCGAACGTGCGTGAGTTACATCGAATTGTTCGAAAGTTCGCAATTTGTTCGCGCAGCAAAGAGATAGGCCGAGCTCATTATCGAGCACGGCGATCGCGGCACCATCCAATCGGACAAACGTGTAACGACACACCGAGTCGACACCGGACGCGATCGTTAATGTAAACCGCTCGCGTTGAAGCGTATTCATGCGTGGCTCAGCTGCACCTGATTACGTTAATAATGAACACAATTGGTGCTCACCTGCGTGACTCGCCGAATGTGCTTAATCTGTTTACCGGTGCTCGCCGTATAGGTATTATCGCGAATGTGGGGCGACGCAGCAAAAGCGCGCGCGTTATATTCGCGGCATATTTGGCGAGAAAGCCACGCGATCATAGTACGTGTATCCGTCCGTTGGTGCTACCTTGAATTCGTCCGATTTCGACGATTGTCGCCGCAAAGCCAGATCTGTGGATGAAACATACATTTTAAACAGAATTTATTTTTCTAGGATTTTATTAATCCACAGTGTGGCATTGTCAGTTGAAAATATTTCTGTCAATATATACGTATACAAAACATAGATGGAAGAATTTAATAACAATTTTTGTACAAAAACAACAAGCAACATTTTGTTTACAAACTTGAATTTTATTTGATATCTAAAACATTCAAACGTTTTGTTGTTAATAAAAATATGTGTGTGTGTGCGTGTGTGTGTACGCGCGTGCGCGCGCGCAAAGAGTTATCATATAGCGCTTTGCTTTATTTACAATCGCGATAAATCAACCAAAAGTTTCTCTTGACTGTGTAATGCGATTAATTTGCAACACGATTATTCGGTATTATCGGCAATACACTTAATATGCAGAAATACCGTAAAAAAGATCTATATATGCGTAGAGCAGCGAAATAATTGGAGAGGTGCGCGAAAAGCGACAAATAAATTCAATTTCGCCGTATTATTTTTTTTTTCGCGTACACATCTATCTATTGCGCGCAAGTTTTCTTTCTCGCATCATCGTCGTTACATCCTCGGGGGCTCGGTCAACTGTCGTCTTTACGTTCCTCGTCGATTTCTCGTTGTGTATTCGCGACATAGCGCGTTTATTTTCCGCAGAAAATCACAACGTGTCCGGATAAGAGCCGCGGTTATCGCGGTGACACGCTGAATACGGAAAGATCGCTCCGCATTTTCGAGCTTTTGTGTTGAGAGCACTATAAATGCGCATTTGTTGCACATGATCGCGGGGAGAGCTTGCACTTTGGTTATACAAGAATTCTTTAGCAGATAGCATCGAAAGATGATAGAACGATATGGACGATATTTGTTTCGTATTCAGAAGCAAGTTTTCCTTTTTTCAAAAATTTCAAGTGAATACGTTAGGTAATAAGACACGTGTACAAATATACATGAATATGTTTCACACACCAATCGTGTCAACATGCTTGAAGTCATTTTTTTTTTTTTTTTTTTTGAAGTCATTAAGAAACTAAAAGTTCTAATATCATCACGTCGACGTTGTAAAGTAGTTTTTGAGTAGTTTGTGCGAGCTTTCGAAGTTAACGAATTAGGTCACAATGAAGTTCACGCGCTCGTTAATAACGTTATTAAGTAACGTTACAAATAACAAAGTACAGAGGGCAGACACGTGTCGCTCTTATTGCTGTTGCAAGTAATATTGATCGAAAAAGATTTCGTGCGGTCAGTGTGCTCGGTGTGACACAAATAATTTAATCGAATGTAACATATTAAATTTGACACAGTTATTTATATCGGCATTATCAATTTTAATATCCGTGAAATTTTTATCCACCGCAGAAGAGTTATTATCTATCACAAGTTTTAATTGCATGCGAGACGAGAGAGATTTTGAGATAGATTTAATTATTCTTTCTGTTTAATTTTGCATTATACTTTTTGTCTGTAGCGCGCTTGCGGAGATGGAATTATATACATCTATCGCGTCATGCACATCAGCATGTGTGTGCGCGAATTTGCATTCGTTAATTCGTTCGGGCGTGTGTGACCAGTGAATCGAGTGAATAATTTCGCGTAGTGATTTCGCATGCACTGCTAACAGATTTCAGAGTACGTTGTTGTCTTTGGTACTCGTCGGTAATGCATAAGCGGCTTACCGATAATACACACGTAGAGAGGTACCTATATATAACGTTTCTCACACAGTGAAGCATAAGTTACAAAAGTTTATGATATTTACAAGCCCATTATGTGCTCTCTCGCTAAGCCCTCCACTTTGCGCGACCGCGGATATATAATTTTAAATCTCATTAGAGTTTCTACTTTTTTAAAAATGACCACTGATATATTATATCGTTTCTCGCGGATTATAAAAAAGATTTTTAGCTGCTTGCAGTCGATTGCACGTGATTTTGCACACGATATTCACGTCTCGTGTGTTATAAAATATATCTTTACAACGCTCGTTATATATATATATAACGCGTAGTAATACTTTGTTCTCTTGGATCGAAATTGCGATTTATTATTAAATTTTTTTTTAAATCGGATCTCTCTCTTTAAATTAATAGATATTAAATTTTGATCGCGGCGTATATTCTCCGCGATAGAAATATATCGTTTGCGAGTTGTTCCGTTCTACACGTTCTGTTAAAAGAAAATTTGTCAAAAAAAAAAAAAAAAAAAAAAAAATGATAGACACGCATTCTCTCTCTTTCTCCCTCTTTCTTTCAAATAATTCTAATAATAATAGATTATTATCCGGAGATAGATTCAGGCCTTTGTATCACGATCATCAATTCTATCTGTACTAAGACCCTCCATTAGCCCGACTATAGCCATTGCTGTGTTAAGGGTAGTACGTGGTGCATGTAAATTGCGGTTCCACCAGCTTTGCTCAACGTCGAATTCGATACTCAGCCAGTCCATGTTATGGTTAGGCTGGTCTTAAGTGTGGCAACGAAATTTCTGCCTCTGGTTGCGTCAGATTACAGGTACGCGTATTACGGGGATATACAAACGCGCGCGTGAATCATACGAGAATACGGACGCATGCGGGCACATGGGACATTATATTGCTCTATGTAATGTGTAATTAGTAATTTAATGCGGTGATGACATCGGAATAATGTTCTTAACGTTTAATTAAATGTTTCAAGACCGTTTTTCCTCTGCTGTTGAGAGCTTTTTAGAACAATTTGACAGAGCAATTTCACACAATTTTTTTGTTATATTGATTGCAATAATTTTGTTTTGCGCTGTCATTACACGCATTAAACTTCAGATTGATGACCGCGTTTAATCGTGATTCATCTTCCGACCGTTTAAGGCCTTAAATGCGGCAATGAATTTTGTAACCAGCGTCCAATTACAGTCATCCACTGCCGCGGACCGACACTTGCGCATGCAACGGCGGCGCGGCGCCTTTGCAACAAGCGAATGCATTTGTCGTTGCCAGGCTTTTACGACTTTGCGACCGCACCCGATGTTCTTCGTTGAGTACGATGAGCATTTCGGACTCCGCAGACAAATGACGCGTTTCATCATTCCAACCCTCTCGATTGCGGCTTGTATCCTTCACGCGGATACCCTCGCGTTCAACGAAGTATAGCGCGGTAATCCCTCTCCAATTTTCAAGTGTAACTAAGACCGCACCTTTTCCCGACGACGATCCGTCACGCGTAATGTCACCGTGAAAACGTCACGTTCGCGATCTCTTATCGGCTTCCGACCGTTACTTTCGCTTTCTTTCCTCCATTAATATTTTTCGTCGCAAATCATGCGTCGCAAAATCGTGTGACGCTGGTAAATTCGCTCGACGCGTGAGAGCCACAAATATCGCGCGGGAGAAAATAAAGCCGAGCTTATAAATTCAGGAAACTGACTTTTCGATTTTTCTGACTACTGAAACTTGTGACACGAGAAATATTTTCTTTAATTAGAACAGCTTTGTTAAATATCAAATTACAAATCAAATATAATTGTGAAATAAATATTATAAAAAAAAAAAAAAGAAACGATGGAAGAACATGTCGATAAATTTCTTGTGATACACACAAGCAATTCTAAAATTTAAGAACAAAGTTTCGATTTTACATCGTCTTAGCTGTGGCAATGAATATTTGACGTATCAAAAACTGGATCCCTTTGTCACGCGTCGCGACATGCCAATTCTCTCGTATTTCTCCGTTGCGATCTCGTATTTCTCCTTTTACGTTATCACATATTCCTTGACTTTCTGGAGTTTTCCTCGTTAGACGCAATACGAACCTCTCGAGTGATACTTTACACCGGCTTTTAGCGTACGCATATCCTAATGGAATATTTGTTGAGATCTTTCTCTTTTACGAACCCATTTATATACGCTAAGATCGATATTCTAAGGTCTACATTAGTCGCAAGACGCAAACGTAAGTTGACAGGAATTGACTCAATCACGTTTGTCGATTTGATCAATGATTTGATAGGCAATTCAAAAGATCTCCGGCTCGCACTCGCTCCTTGAGACTAATGTAGGCCCTTAGAGAGCTGATTTTCTTTGAGCGCGCAAGCTTCTGCCCGGGTTCGCGTTACCCTCATCGTTTAGGTAAAATTGTCATGATTTATCGACGAGAGGGTGGAAACCTTAAAGCACGGCTTAAAAAAGGTCACTGCCGTTGCGGCAACGGCGGTGAGATGACAATAGGGTTCAAAATCGCTTAATACCGGCGTATCTGTACGCGCGATATGATCTATTGTTTTCCAAGACGAGCAAAAATGTAATATTGCCGGTGATTTATCGCTCCGTTTATTCTGCATCCACGCTCGCCTCTGTGCTTTCGACGAGGTGACAAACACTTCGGTGTGTCTCGCTCAACTCGTAAATTTATAAGAAGCTCGCACCCAACGCTCGCTCTCAACACACACTCAACGTATGTCGCAGTAATTGCGAAAACACGAGCAACATCAAGAGTTGTTCGTCATACTCACCTTTAAAAGAATTTGAAAAAATACACGTTTATATTGAGAGAGTGTTTATATCATATAAAATGAAATATAAAATTGCATTTGACACACATAATATAAAATTGCATTTAAACACTGGTACGTCTTATCTCGTATTTGTGCAATTTTAATACATTGTGTTAATGAATATGAGTTTTTTCTCCTTCGTCTCTCTCAACTTTTTTTACGTACGAAATTAAACCTTTTAGTTTGAAAAGGTTATTACCAGTGGCAAATTTTTGAGAAGTTCATCGTAAAACATTTCTCAGAGCGTTGGAGAAGTTTTTAATTTGAGATTTATCTTTATTTCTCTGCTTTTTCATTTTCTCTTGCCCCGTGATTATCAAGATGTTGGTTTTTTGTAACAACAGGTTCTTTCGGTATAATTATAGGCGGGGGTGGTCCGAGTTTCGGCAACGGTGTGTAATTTCGCGGCGACTTTAATTCAACTTCAAGACTGTATTTTATATCGTCGCTCGGGGTGATTTGCCTAATTGATCTCAGTAACAGCAGTTCTTCCTCCGATGTTTTTCGAAGTGACTTTCGATCGTGCACGACTTTGACTCTTGTACAACTTTTCTCACATTTTTTACCTTTTACGCAAACACATTTCTCGTAAAAAAAAAAAAAACAATTAAACACTGTAATATAAAATGTAATTACATCAAAATGCGTACCGTACTTATTCAAGCAAGTAGTATCAATAACGGAAGTAGGTTTGATAGCTTTCCCGTTTTCTTCCTCACGTTGAACAGAACGTTTGTCTCTAGGTACTTTAATGGATAAAATGTTATTGTCAATCTCATGGTCCACTTCGTGATACGACGAGTCTACAGGACACACGGGCTGATCCATTGATTTTTTTTGTAATAATTACAATTTTTAATGTTAGATGTACGAGTTACATCTTGTCATACATGGTTAAGGTTATTCAAAACAATTCGGATATTTACATTGCTTTGAAACAAATTCACGCATCGCTGTTCTTAATATGTTGAGAATACGATATCATCTTGATTGCTTTGTTTTTACACATACGTATATATTTAATACGTATATATCGTATCGACAAGAGCGTTTATGTCTGTACACGTGAAATCGCACCAATAATATCTTCCAATAATATCTTATCGATGAAAAGCGCAAAGGCATTAACATTCCTACCCTGTGTATCTCGCGTATCTCATTGTTTAAATACTTACTTTTCAGTGAATATTTAAATCACGAGATTAACGATTTTCCGTGTACTTTCTCTGTATTGTTTTATAATCGGACTTCGTCTCTCTTACACTCGATACGGTTATCGCGCTCGGACATACAATCGTGCTTACCCTTAAAGCTCTGTTTACAAACGGCACAAATTATTCCCGTCGTTGAAAGTTTTACATGTCAAATGTACATAAAGAGAAATACACAAGCAAAATGCTTTTTCTTCTCTCCGTCTCGCCTCGCTATACATAAAGACGGTGCCCGGAAATAAGGAAGAAGAAAGTATATAAAAGCGAAATGCAGATGAGAAAAGACTGTAACGGGAACGATTCTCCGTTCTCGCTACAGAGCCGTGAGACTAAAAGAAGCACGGTCGTCGGAGTAGCTTCACTGTTTTCCCTCGGAAATTTCTTCTGGACATAAGATGATGCCGGGGAAAGTTCCTTCTTCTTCTTCTTCTCCTCCTCCTCCTCCTCCTCCTCCTCCTTCTCTTCATCCTATCGCGTTCGCGGTGGACTATCATTGTTTCGCTTGTCTCTCTGACGTTTGCTGTGTATTGCACCGTGTATTGCGAGAGAGAGACGTCCACGTCATTCTGTGGAGTGCGTGAAATCGTATTTCAAATAAATATGCAAATATTGTCTCAATTTGGTACCAGATACGCACACCAGAGACAAAAAGAAGCCGCGTCCTTCTTTGTACACGCGCCACGCATGGAAAAATACAATATATTCTGATACTTTTTCTCTTCCTCTTTCTCTCTTTTGCTCGCAACGCGATCTCTGCTTTAATTTTCCTCTCTTCACTGCATCTTCACTATTTTCATTTGCGTTTTTTTTCTTTCCATTTTTTCTTCTTTTTGGTTTTTTTTTTTTTTTTTTTTTTTTTTGAACGCACATCGCTAGGAGAATTTAATATTCTTGGCACCTAAACTTCCCCTTTGTTACGTAGCTTCATAACGCTCTTAATGTTCGCGCTTTTAAAAGATAATATTTCTCAGCTTTTTCCGCTGACTTTGTTTTATTCTTTCGCGCGCACGCGCGCAACACGGTCGTCCCCGAGATCTTTTTCTCTCTTTCTTCACGTTTTTTTCAAAAAACAGAGCTCTCGAGAAAATCTAGCAAACGCGTATATACGTATACAACAGATGTCCACGGAAGTAAAGATCAATACTTTAGAGCATGCATACACCTCATACATCATTCGAAGAAATAAAATCGTTATGGGCATGCGTTTTGTTTCAAACAATTTCCGAGATATATGTACATCTATTTGAATTGAATACCTTGAATATATAATATTACACATACATGCATACACACACACACACACACACACACACACACACAATATTGACAATAAAAAGATAAATATATCTAATAATAATATATATTTGTTTATATGTACGTGTATTTATAACCTAACTGTGTGCGTGTGCATCAGTATCGATGCGATATGGAGATGTATACTTATATGCGAGGAATGACCGTATCATATTGGTTGTCGCGACGTACGGAAAGAATGGGAGGGACGCGCGCGCGAATATTTTTGAACGCAAACTCAAAAATTCTATCAATCTCCCCGCTCATTCCTGCTCACGTGATATTCGACGCGCTCTATCATGGAGATACGCTTTATGCGACCGAAGAGAGGTATGCTAATATTATGCGGCGCTTTCATAACGCGAGACCAAGCGTGTTTTACTTTCATGAAGTTCTTCGTCCGGTTAATATTTTTTTGACAAAAGAAAGAAATGGAAACTTTCTTCTAACGGCTGTGCAAATCGCACACAGCCCGCGAATTCGTTCGAAAAACTGTTGAAACAAATCGATCATGGGGATGGGTGATCATCGTTGACTGATACATGCACGTAATCAGTTTTACAATAAAAAAAAACACACACTCTTTTTTAGAACAGGCTTCAAGCCCACAGTCGTTGTTCAGGCCGCTTTGTTGCGAAGTCGCTGAAAAGTTTTGCCCTGTTAAACTTTTAATCGGTAATCCGGCGAGAAGTCTCGCGAACACAGATCGGAATGCAACGGCAAGTTTTAGCCTTTTAACTTTCGAACTTCCTTCCTTCATTAAATACCGGCTCGACGTAAATACCGCGCGCCTCGAATGTGGCCGTCGATGCAGTTTGTGTAGCGACTATAGCGTACTTAAAGTTGTGAAGTATCATTTGTCTAAAATTCTTGAACTTGTACATATCATTATGTTATTTTCTTTTAAACACAATCGCGCGCGACTATATTAATAATTAATTAATAATTTCTTAATATAGGTTATATATTATATAGGTCGATTCCATATTTGTTACTCGACGATTCTCTCCCTATTGTCATGGTTTTTTTTTTTAAAACGATATAAAATTGCAAACGTTATTTAACGTTTTTTAACACGGAGTCGCACGGGGAAAATCTGAGAATATTTTTTACTTACGGAAGAAACTAGTTATATAGTGCTAGTTATATAGTGCCCACGATCTCCTCTAGTTATACCAGGTTAGCCATGCACAAAGCTATCCTATCCGCGCTGGCTAAATGCATCGTGGTTACGTGGCTAATGTACATCGAATATACATATGATGGTTTCAAATCATTGGCTTGTTGTCGGTTGTTAGCTTTGCCAATGTTGCCACACTCTTAACGTTCATTAAAACGATGTTGCGCGACTGTTGCCAAATTGATATTAAAACGTCGAGCACATATATCATAGTCGGGGATACCTAACGATCATTGTCAGTTTGCATATATGTGCGAAGGATATGATTAAAAAATAGTTGCTTCCGTTGAAAATAATGTTTTGAACGTGATCGTGCAAATTTATCAGAAAACGCCGATTCATTCTTTGAAATAATCGCGCACTAATATGTAATTATGAGAATAATTATTCACGTGCCGTCACAGTTTGTGTGTGTGTGTGTGTGTGTGTGTGTGTGTTGCTTGCTTAATGCTTCGTTTTACTTATGTTGATTAAACATTACTCATTAATAAACGGTAAAACAATTGCGTTACAAAGGTATAATTTTGAAATAATATATTTGTTCGAAAACACGATGTGTGCGCGCTGCCGCTGTCGGAACGTAATATTCACCGATTTATTGCCGAGTTTCTGTGCGAATTAACATAAACGCAAAGCAGATTATCGCGCCTCTGGTTTGTAATAAAATTGCATTTTCAATGCGTTGTTACAAATATAATCGTTAATCAGGAATGACAAACGCCCGAGAATTCAATTCAAGCGTGAAAAATTTATCCTTTTCAAAGCGGCTCGAATGGAACGAAGTAAAATACAAATTATGATCGACTGTTCTTACCCCGCGTATATAATATATATATATATATACATTATATACATATATATATGTGTATATATATATATATATGATATGAAGTCCGCCGCGCGTCGCGGAATAAATAATATCGTATTATTTATATCGGGCTTTTCGATATCCATCCGCCCCGTCGATATATCGATCCGACATATCGATTTCCGATACCTAAATTCCACTCTGACGCTCTCCACGATAGTTTCGCTCATGACATGTGATATTTGTTTCCCGTGTGCTTCCGTGTGTCCTCCTCTTTCTCTCCCTATCTCTTTTCTCTTCTCAACGATTGTTTATATCTTCGAAGCAATCTAATACATTCCCAGAGACGGTTTCTATTTCGCGGAACGTGTGCGAATGAAGAAGCGCTTCCTTTTTCCCATTTCTGTGGAATTTTTACTTCCTCCCCTCCCCCCCTTACCGAACAACTACGATGTAAGAAAGCGCGTATAGAGACAATTTCTGGAAATAAAAAACGTCATAGAATGAAGTTTCCGAGAACTTTTGTATAACCACTGTGAACATCTTATGATACTATGTAAAGTTTAACTTCAGAAGAGGTAAGAAGCAGAATCGTGCTAGTTTCTTTTTGAGATTTTGCTCCAGTAAAATATCGTTTGTACGTACAATCGTGAACAATTGTGGAATACAATGTTGAAATAAATAATATGAAAGTCTAGAGAGAAGAGGAAAGATAAATGAAAATGAGAGAAATAAAAATTATTTAAAACTTCTTGGTCTCTCGGTTTTGCTGAAAAATCGCCGATATGTTATTTCGCGGGTAGAGTAGAGAAAGACTAGAGAAGTCGTCTCTCGACGAATATTACAATGTCTCGAAAACGCGCTATCGCTCATTGTAATAGGTTCGTCACTTTATTTTGCATGGGGAAAGAAGACACGTGAAAAATGCATTTGTCTCGTACTCGCGTAGCCCAGGGGTAACATTTGTTGTCGCTATGGCGCGCGGCGGAGTACGTAGACAGAAAGCTACTTCGAAAAGTTCAGTGTGAGAGTCGCTCCTCTACGGTACAGCGTTTTTTTCACTATAACGTCGACGACACTACTGCTTGTTATATTTTTCCTATGTTTTGCGCGTATATACGTATACATATATATGTATATATATATATATATATATATATATATATATATACATATCCGGAAGATCGTAACTCTCGCAAATAGTCTGGCAAATCTGTGGTCTAATAATTTCGCACCACGTAACACCGGTCGCGGCAATGTAAACGCGAGATCTGACGAACGAACATAGACAAAAATCAGACAGACTAGAAATGTATTATTTTAGAACTGTAATATAACGTTTAGTTTTTTGTATTACCTAGCATGAAATTGAGTATCAAAAGCGTGTCACAAAATTAAAAACTGACATTTATATAAT